TACACTTCCTATAGCTGTGACAACACAGTAAGTATCATTTCCCATCAAGATCTTTCCACCATCGATTTCTACTAGATCAAACATTAGATCCTTTCTGTATGTTAAATGATACGAGCATCCGGAGTCCAGCACCCAACCATCTCTCGAGTGTGTCTCAGAAGCTGTCAACACTAGAGGCTCATTATTATCCTGCCCAACATTTGCTTGAGCATTGCTTGTCTGACCTCTCTTTGGACAATCCTTCTTGAAATGACCTTCAGCACCGCAAACCCAACATGTTTTCTTGCTTTTGGCCTTTACCTTTTCTTTATCTTCCTTTTGTTTGCCCTTTGTGTTGTTCTTCTTACTCGTAGATGCTTTAGACTGAACATACAAGCCTTCATTGCTTTGTTTTGACAGATGAAGTCCCTTTTGTTTCAGTTCAGTTTCAAGAGAGTATGCTGCTGTGGTCACCTCCTTGAGAGTTATAGTCTGTTGCCCACCTCTGTACTTAAGAGTATGCACCAGTTGAGAATACTGTGAAGGTAGGCCATTCAGAAGTATTACAGCCTGATCTTCATCACTTAACTCAACATCCAGACTTGCAAGATCCGATACCAGTTTATGAAAGATATCCAAATTCTTGTCCAAATTTTTACCTTCTTCCATTTTAAAGCTGTAGAATCTTTGCTTGAGATAGAACCGGTTAGGAAGGGATTTATCTTGGTACTGTGATTCAAGAGAATCCCACATAGACTGGGCCGTCTTATGTTTCAAACCCACCTTCCTAAGCACTAAATCTGTTAAGCTCATGCATAGTAGATTTCTGACTCTTCTATCCTTGTCTAACCATTTAGTATCCGACCTGACTTCATCATCTTTGTCCTTCGGATCAGGTAATACCGATGAAGATGAATCCTCATTTACCTTCAATACTGAATCAAGACCAAGGATCTCTAGTTGAGCAAGAATTCTATACTTTCAAATCGTGTAATCTCCGTCACCGTCAAACTTTTCTACTTCCCACTTTCCCTGAGTCGGCTCAACCATACTGCCTTATCAAATCTGATATAACCTTTCACCCTGGAGAGTAAATCAATACCAGAAATCCTTCGCAGAACAGAAAACCTAGCCACACAGTTTATCCACAACCAAACCTTCGCGGAAAAAAGCCCAGAGCTAATGATATCCTCAAAGAAAACCTTTCGCGAACAGCAGATAAGTAAACCAGAAAGAATCCAGAAAGAATACCTCACAGAGAACAATACTAGATTCAGAAACCAGATACTAAGACCATGTACCTGCTGAATCCTTTCTCTATGATGAAACCGGAGAAGCAGTCAAGAAATCCCTATAAGAGAAAATCACCTTTGATCGCTCCAACCGATTGGCTCTGATACCACTTGTTGCGATTTTCTCCTTCTTTGTGCTCGATATAATTGCTGATCTAAGGTTCCAAGTATTATCGCTTATGCTCTGTTTCGTTTGTTGCAGGATTAAGAGAATAAAACAGAGACGACACGAGATTTACAAGTTCCCAAGACAAAATGCCGAGGTACGTCTTGGTGAGCAAACCTCCTGCTCACAAGGTTTCACTATGTGTTTAATCCGAATACAAGATACCAGAAGAAGAACTACGAGAGTTACAAAGAAAGCCGAGAATGAAGAAGACGAGCTATGGCGAAGATAAGCTTCTTCTTTCTCTCTATTCTCTCTCTCTCTATTCTCTCTCTTTTCTGCTTGTTTCACACACAACCTCTCTCTTCTCTTCTCACGCCGTTATTCCTTTTGATTCAGGTCCAGCTCATTAACCTCGAGCCCACTGCACTTGGCCGTTAGCGTAACAACCTTATCACCAACAACCTCTGCATCTTTGACCTCCTAAAACGACGAGACTTTTAGAGTTTTAGATCATGGACTCTCTTGAAGCTTTTATCCGGATTGGACCTTGATCCATAACCATTACCAGCCCAGATCCAAGCTTAAGTCCACAGGTATGATACGCATCGTTTCATCACAGGATAACTTAAAAATGAATGAATATTCTCGTTTACCATTTATAAATTAAGATCAATTCACACATTTTTTCCGTTTATAACTATGTTTAAAATTTACATGGTGGCTATGTACAGCTTTTATGTTACGAACTATTAATTATGCTTCTTCAACCTCTTCTCCCGAAGAGTCAGAGAAACCAATCTCCACATCGGAAATGGTCTCATCCAACGGCTGAGAATCCTCAGAGTCAAGACCAGCTTCGAATCTCTCTCTTCCCTCCACTTTCTCTCTCACTCTCCTCTCAAATTCTTCATCAGTACAAGCCAACATGTATCTGAGCTTGAAGTTAACTCTGTTCTCAACCATAATGGCGTGCCTTGGAATTATCCGACGCTCTAGTGAGTAGCTAAAGAACCTGTCAAAGTATTACATGATTACTTTAAAGCCTACATTTAGAAGGTGCTGTATCGTTTCATGAAAGTTTCTTTATTTTACCTGGGAAACTCAATGAGATCTTGAAGCGGACGGATCATTGTTCTTCGCAAGTAACGGTATTTTGGACGTAGAATATCAACATTATATCGGAGCAGCATCGGGAAATCAGCAATCATTTCGCCTAGTTGATGAATTTTGATTCCCAATGAGACATAGTATCTCATGTTTGGTTCTAGCTTCGTCCCTATGCTGCATCCAAGGAGAGCAGGATCCAATGCAATAACTTTACCGATATTCTTCTGGCTTACTCCGGCTCTGCTTAACAGAAAAATCACCTGCACGATAAACTTAAACGGTATGAGTTTGGAATCATCATATGCTATGAGCCTATTGACTCACTAAAAAAAGATTTTATGGATCATGTTTGGTTCATAAAAGAAGTAGCACTAACCACAGGTCGGATTTTCTTGTAGAGACTGTTTGTTAGTAAAGAAGGAAACTTTACTATCATGTTTCCAATGGCCTCATTAGGGATACCCATGTCCTGGAAAAATCTTACCTTCAAGAACACAAGAGAATCTGAGTTAATGGAATCTGCTGGATGTTTTATACGGGAGTTCATATTTATAGCGAAGTTCAAATACCTTTGGTGCGATTGTCTTCTCCAAATCAGTACAGTAAAGAATCGGTTTCACGAAAAGTATTCTTTTCATTCCTTCTTTGGAGATTCCAAGGTAGTAGAAATATTTGACCAGAGGCTTCCATCTTTCTTCGATACTGCATCCCATGAGGTGTGGCTTGAAGGCTAATAGTCTCCCAACATCTTCTGTGCTAAGTCCAAACTCTTTCAGGTAACTGATCTGGTTCAAGACAAGCAAGACATTTATGAACTCAAAAGACAGTTTCTAACAAATGGTGGATGAACATATACATATAGCTTTCAGTACCATTTTTTCCATCTCTTGGAACGAAAAGAACCCGAGAATCTTTGGATAATCGAAGACCATAGTGCCAAAGTCATGTTGATTCATACCCATTTTCAAGAAGAAATCAACACGGCTTTTGACTTCTTCCATGCTGAAGGATAGCAACTCGGGACATCGGCCAACCACATATCCCATCCAATCCCTCCTCACACCATTGCTCTCTAGATACTCAACAATCTCGTCTAGTTCTTCACGGCTACGTTGCAAGATGTTGTCCCCGGATCTCAAGAACGCAACTCCAATGAATTCACCCTTCACATGAATGGTTTTAAGCCACTCGATCATGATTCTGATGGAGTCAAGATTTCCTTTCGACATGCATATGATCTTCCCAATTCTATTATACGAAAACTCATGGTGCTTCAACCACCTGCACGGTTCATCATAATGAAAAACTACTACTTTTACAAACTCCCAAAATAAGTCAACGTATACTTAACACTGAATTCACTTCTCGGCACAAAGAATAAACAATTCTGGCGTAAAGGGTACATCTTAAGTCCAATCTTCGATATGCTCAAAATTGTAGAGAACCCATGAACTTGATCAAGCCAACGATATTGTAACACTGACTACAATTCAAGAACCCATTAACTTGATCCACTTCGGTGCCCTTATGATGAACAATTGTGGTATAAGGGTCCATAGAATTTCATTTCTTCGGGTTTACTCTGAAGTTATATTTTTGATATGCTCAAAATTGTAGAGAAAGTCAAATGTTTTTTTCTAAGAGACCATGCATCGAACACCTTATGGGCACTAATGAAGACTGCTACTAAGAAACAGAGCTATGAAACTAGAAGCTTCACCTTACAAGAGGAACGAAATTGGAGTCTTCTATAACCTTCCTGGCGCGAAGGTTGAACCTCGACTCTGAAAATTCCGGCAGCCGCTTCAACGCCGCAGCTTCAATCATCACATGATCAACGAAATCACCCACACGATCAGTCACATTAGTCGCGTACGTGATCCCAAATCGACCTTTCCTCACCAAAGACTCTTTGATAATCTCCTTGGTCACTTTCCGCCTGATCTCCAACGCCTTAGCTATCATCTCCCTCTCGCTCTCTCCGTCGTCATCACCATCGGAGCCTAAGAAATTACGGAGCGAAGGAAGCGATGAGGCGACATCAACATCAGAGGCAGATTGAGCGTAGATTGATCCAGGGAATTGTGGAGTTCTTCTGGTCACGAGAGAGAGCTCGAGTAGCTTAGATCGGTCTTCACCGTCTACATCACGCCGAGGCGGAACGAAGGTTTCGGGGGATTCGTTAGGGTTTTTATTAAGCTTAAGGTCTCGATTATGGCGAATAAACAGAGAAAGGGATTTTGCATTGTGCCGGCGACGGATTACTGTAGCTTGTGATTCGTCGGGATTGTCTTGACGGTGGAGAGAGGAGGAGGAGACGAGGGAGAACGTTGAGGTATAGCTTACGTTGCAGTGGAGAATCATGGAGGAAGGAGTGATGGTGGAGACAAATAGAGCAGTTCGGAGAATTCAATTGAGAGAGAAGATTACAGAGACCGGAAGAAAGAACGAAAGAGAGAGAGAACGAGAGAAGATGGTGAATAATATGATAATACAGTGTATTGATACCAAATGGTTCCATGGTCTAGCGGTTAGGACACCAGACTCTGAATCTGGTAACCCGAGTTCAAGTCTCGGTGGAACCTTTATTTTTAATTTTGTTAGTTTTTTCAATTAATTATGCCTTGTTTCAAAAAAATTCGATTTTACTCATTCCAAGTGAATTGAATTCAAATATAAAGATGGGAAAGAGGGTTTCTCTCTCTTTTGATGTAAATCTTCCGGTTTTATCTGGATTTAATAATTCTGTTCAACGGTGGATGTGAGGTACCTATCTATGTGTTTTGTTTGGATTTGCTTTTCTGGGGTGTTTTTACGGTGGTGGTGGATAAAAAACGGCGCAGGAGGTGTTGCAAAACTGCTGGCGACATTCTCAGATCGTCAGAATCGTGGAAGGAATGAAGGACCGCCAGCGATGTTTCTGCTTCAATCCTTGATTGACCACGTGTTAACACATGTTGTTTCCAATACCATTATCTCTTCTATATGGGTTAATAATGATTTTTAAATTGTAGGCGGTTAAGGGTTGGACTTGAAATCACCACTCGTAATGCCCATGTTTTGGGTTTTCGGTTATTAAATGAATGGACAACAAAAAAATAAAATTCAATATATATATATATATATATATTTATTTATGAAGACGACCATTAGAATTTCTCTGTTTTACTCACTTACAGAAATTCACAACTATTAATTATTGCTGAAAACTTCTCTGGAAAATATATGCATTTATAAATTTGCATATGATTTTTCAATATTTTAACATCCAACTAGGTAATAACCCGCACTTTGTGCATACACAAGAGTTTATAAAATAAGTTTTTTTAGACTAATTTTTTGTTATCTATTTCTCGCTAGAATTCTCTCTCCATTTTCTCGTAAGTAGGTGTCATTCTAATCGGTTATTTCACGCATTTTCTTTCTACTTCTTTAACGTACATATGTGATTTATGTTTCTTCTACTTTAACTTAATCGTCTTTGAATTTGACTTATACTTTATCATCTTTGTTTTTTTCCAATAATTATTCTTCTTCTTTCTCTTTCGGTTTTTTTTATTGTCTTTCTCTTTTGATTATCCTTTTTATCGTTTTTTGTCTTCTCAAAGTTATTATTCTTTCGTTTTTTCTCCAGTCTTCAACCTGAACTGCTTCTGCTTCGTTTTCTTCTTTTTTATTTTATAATTTTATTTGTCTTCTTCCTCATATTTTTCTTTAATTTTTTTTTGGGTTTATCCCTAGCGATGAACCACATTATTCACCCACTTTTATTTTAACCAGTAAGAATGTGACATCTAATATTATATTTAAATAGAAATTTAAAATTGAAATAAACTAAGAAAACAAATTAGAAATATAAAATTATTAATAAATAAAACCCAACCCTAAACTTTAAATAAAACAAAAAGCTCATATTCTTAATTTGTTTTATTTATTTATTTAAAAGTTTTTATTGATATTTTAAAAAAAAATTTCAAACTTCTAAATTTAAAATTCTGAATAGTACAAATAATTATATAAAAATAATTATTTACCAAAAATAAATTTAAAATAAAGTTAAATATTAATATGTTTGAGTTCACTGTTTTCAGTTTAGAGTTTAGTTTTTTCATTAAAAATGTTTAAATATAATATTAGATGTCAAATTTTTATGGTTAAAATCAGAAGGGATGAATAAAAAGATTAACCCGTAGAGATGAATCCAAAAATTGTTTTTTTTCTTTTTTCTTTTTCATCGTAACCGGCTTATTCTTCTTCTTCATTTTCTTTCAGTTTTGTCTATGTTTTTCAAATTCTTACCTTTCTCCTCTTTCTTCTTCTTTAAAATCTTGGTCTAATCCATCTTTTTATTTTAGTTAAGTTTTTTTCTTCTTTATTTTTGTCATCTTTCTCGTCTTTTCCGATTGTTTCTTCATTTTTTTGTTTTTCTTTATCTTTAATTTTTTTTTCTTCGTCATTTTATCATTCTTTTTTTCATCATCTTCGTCGTCTCCAAAATTTATTTTTTCTATCTCTCGTATTTCTAGTTTTTCATCATCATCGTCATTTTTTTAGATTTTATACCCTTGCGTTAAAAAATAAAATACAAGTATATATATATATATTTATTTATTTACCTGAAGATCTCATGAAAAGTGAAAATAAACGGAGAAAAGAATATACCTAAGGCAGAGAAAAAATCAAGTGAAGAAGAAGTGAAAAAAATAAAAAAAATGAAATAAAGCAAATGCTCTAATATATATACACGTTAGAAAACTGCTGAAAGAAAGCAAATATAGTGTGAAAAAGTAATAGATTTCAGTTCACTGTATATTATTACACAAACTTAAAATAAAGAAGGGGAGAAATATACTGCGACAATTTAATGTGTGTAACTCCAAACAAAACTTGAATGCTGATGAAATTCTAAAATCCCAGTATTAGACGTCTGAAAACAAATGCATATAATAAAGTGAGACAATGAACATTTATAGCACAATCTCTACATTCCTATTTTCTTAGCAGCATATATTTGAATTAAAAAAATATAAAGCAATGGAAATGTACGATAATGTTTTTATCGAGTGGAAGACGGACTGGAGTTTGAGATTCCGAATATCTAAGAAATACAATAAATTATATTCCTAAACCAAAAGTGTTAATATATATTAATTTTTAAGGGTGTCTTATGTATTATGATTTAATTAAACGGGTTATGACAGTAATAATGATCCAACTAAATGAATGGGCTTCAATAAAGATTTAATTAAACTGATTATAACATATCATTTATAAAAAACACATATGATTAATGAAAACTAGGGAATTTTCGCATCTTTGCACGAACTAATATAATTTTTTATTTGATTGTTTGAAAATTTAATAGTAGTTTGGATTCATGTGGATTTTATTTTCTATTGTTGAGTATATTTATTTATAAGATTTTCTTCCATTTTAATGTTTGAAGATATGATGCAGATTAAAAATACTATTGTTTTTTTTGTCTATTGGGCTGATATAGTTTTTGAATGAAGATACAAACTATATATTTATTCACAATAATAATAGAACAAAACATAATAATTTGAAGTACTGAACAAACTTATTCAAAAAAGAAAGAATAAGTTAAACGATTTAGAGGGTGTGAGATGATTAAAAAGAAGTCTTGTACATATTTATAATAAAACATTTGAAGTCAAAAACCAATAAACATCACAAATACCGTTATTTCATTAAACATTTTATTTCTTATTTATTTTTTATTTTTTTTACTAAATTTTAGTTTTATAAAATTTTAGAAACGGTTTGATTGACAACGGAATAGAGCACTAAATCATAATAATTTAAAACGGTTATTTTAAGTTATTTTAATACATCATAAAAATCAATAAAAAAATGACACGTAATTGAAAAATAGGGTAAAAAGGTTATTTTTCAGCCAAATCTCATTCTAGAGCTGACACGTAAGCAAAAAAATTTTGAAACTCGTTGTGGAGCCAACACCTAAGTAAATCACTACACAAATAAGTATGTAGATATCATTTATAGATATTCCAGTCTGAAAATATCAAAGAACTTGTGTTTTAAAACCAGACCGGTGACCGAACCGGAAAAGCTCTCCGATCATGGGTTAATATAGTTCGATAATTATATCTTTTGGGACAATTTTATTAAACAATAATCAACGTTAAAACTAGAAAAAACGATTTAAGCATTTTTTGATTGAACTCGGTTTTTATGGTTTATCTGTTTGGTCAATTTCCGTTTTTTAGTGGTTTAATCTGGTTTTCTAATCAATCTAACCTTCTGTAGTTTTAGTATTAACTAGATGAGTACCCACGCATATGCGTGGGTTTTCTTTTTAATATTTTTATAATGTTTAAAACTGAAGTTTAGTTTTATCCTTAAATTTCAGTTTACAATTTCTTCACTATATCACACATTTCACGCGTGAAGAATTCGAAGGCAAACATTCTAGCAAGAAGCGCTTGTGTCTACCTACAAATTATTATTTACATAAACTCGATATCTTCGGTTTGGGTAACCAAACCGTTCTAGGTATCTAAACTGTCGATCAAAAACAAAAAAAAAACTGAAATTCAATTTAGATTTTTGGTGATGTTAAAAAAAAATTTAGATTTTTGGTTTTTTTGGACTGGCCATATATATGTTTAGAGAGATTAGTTGTTAACTTGTTTGGTTAAAGTGATTTTGTTTTAATTAGTTTTTTTCTCGACTTTTTCTTTAGTTTTATGAAATCTTATCAGAAATTCTCTCTACTAAGAAACGTTGTCTTCAATTAAACGTGAAAAATTATCTTGAACATCATAAACAAAGATATGAGAATCCAGCAAATACTAAATATTATGATTAGGAACCTAAGAGGTATATTCTCAAAATAAATGGATAACTTTATTCCATAAAATTTTCATATTCTCATTTGCAAAACCGTCACAATCTCCACTAAAATTAGAAAAGTTAGGAAATGAATATAGCATGAAAATCTGTGATATTTCATACTATATATTATCTTTTGCATCACAGGTAGAGTTTGGAACTTTAGATAAGCATGACCAGCTATCGTAAAAGTTTACCAAATACGTCTTTCTCCATTTTCACCATCGGATTTTGTTCTTGCCGCTCCAGTGGCTTTTTATTGCAGTACTTGGGAGAACCAATACTCCAACTCCAAGATCTGATGGAGATAAAACTAGCTACATTTCATGCACATAAAATGATATAAATTATATTTATCTTTTCTCCACAAAGATTTCTTTAATTATAATTCATTGAGACGAGATTTTTATCATTTCTTGTAAAAACATAGATATTAAAAAATTTACTAATGGATGTAATAGGTCTTTCAGAGTATTATTTTTCTCCCTTAAAATTTTCTCTAAAACAAAAAATAAATAGAATAGAAAACTTACACCAGCTTAACTTAAAACAAAGTTTTTAGAAACTATTATTATAGCTTCGTCGCCGAATTATTATAATTTTAGAAATTATTATTATAGCTTTGTCTTGCTATTTACTCTTCACAGAATTCTCGAAACCATCATACAAAATCTTCTTTTTAAAATCAAAATTCTTCTTTTCCTTTAAATGAACACAAACGATGGTATTAAATGTAGATGTCTCTGCCCATGACCAAAAAATAAATCTTAAACCGTGGATTTGTGAACAACATTCACTTTAGTAAGCTTCTATATAGAAATTTGCATAAGTTACAACGTGGAAGCTGTAGATTAGAGATTTATTAGAAAATCTTAGGTAATATTTACTTCTTTCCATGTCTTCTCTTCTATATTTGCTGATTATTTTTTATGCGTTGAAATATGAGTGACCAATATTTAAGACAACGTTTGAAGCATCATTAAGAATAGGAAGCATCAAAAAATGGGAGTCAAAAAGCCATGAGGTCCATGATGGTAAATAAATCAGTACACAGAAAAATGAACATAAAAGTAATTAGCTTAAATTAATTAGAGTTTCACTAATGTTTTTAAATAACAAATAAATGAGTTGATGTGTCCTTCAAAGGAGTGCTGATGTGTCAAGTTTGTGAGACTCAACTGAGTCTTTATATAATAGATACAACCTGGCTAAACTTCCGGTTCACGGTTTAACCTAGTCAAACCGCCAGTTTGGTCCGGTTTTAAAAACACAGCAGAAAACTATAACTGATTTAATCAACTCACTTTTTACAACTATATTGGTAATTAAATTATTTTTGATTTTACGCAAATTTCAATATAGTGTATGAAATGACTTCAAGCCTCCAAAACATATGATGATAATGTTCTGAGACCTATATTCTTCAAAAGAGTTTAATCTTAATTCACTAAATCCAACACAACAACCCAAAGCATTTGTAATTACGACGATACAACGTCTTCAAGTCACCAGATTTCAGCCAGATTACTACTTGTCAACAATCTTGCCAAACGTATGAACGTACCCAAAAAGATAAGAGTATGATTATCGCTAAAATTCATATGGGTTTTTTAAGCATTTTTTTATTATTAAATGGGTTAAGAAACTTTGATAAGAGATCTTTAGGTTTGTAGGGTCTAATGGTAGAATCCCTTAGAAATCTTTTAAAAAAATTAATAATAATGTTTTATTATAAAGAAAGATAATTATTTGATTAAAACATACTTAATATAAAAACATTAAGACAAGTAAAACATAATTTTTGCCATAAATGCTCAGTTTTATCTTCATTATGTCCAAAATTTTGTCATATATTTTCAACCAAATTAGCTTTCAATTGTTGATGTTGATGTTTATCACGAATTCTAGTCCGAACACATTCAGAAACATAACATATAAGAAAGCAAAAATAACCAAAAACAATTTCTTCTATCTCATCTACTTAAAGATTACACACTTGAATACACATTTATTCTACCTCCCAATGCATAAAAAGATATGAGTAGCAGAAAAACAACCAAAAACATAATTAAAAGCAAATCAGAACCTCGAGTCGCTATTGCCTCTTTCATCCGAGCCACTTCTCTTTGAATCTCCACTAGGATTTCCTTGATTTCTCTAATGTCCTCGTTATTTCTGTCAATCAGAGGTTCCATTTTCTCCATGCGATTCTCATAGGATTGAAAAAGTTCTGTCCTGTTGTAGCTTTCCATCTTTTCACTCTGCTGGTCAATTCTTAGTTGTATAATAGTTAGCTGCTCTTCAATGGCTGCATCCCACCATTTTCAAATGTGGTCTGGACTTTCCTACATATTTGAAAATGAAAACTTGATTTAGAAATTTGAATAACACAGCTAACTAACGCAATATCTACATAAATTCGATCTTACCTCTCCCAAAATTGCAGGACAAGTGTAAAACTTCCTCCCTAAAGTTGCTGCAGCTGTGGACTAGCAGTACGGCCACAATAACAGCGCACAGGAATTCCAAAATTTCTATCAGCTCAAGGACAACCATTGTCGTAGCTTGCTATGGAAGATGAACTGTTGGTATAGCTTATCGGTATTTCAGTGAAACAGAGACAACAAAACTTTTGGTGACCTCAGAAATATAGCTATGTCCTAACATCAAACAAACAATCACTTGAGTCGTCACCTTCGACGGAGAAAACAGGAGGAATCAGAAAAAATATTTCTCAGGAAAAAGAAAGAAGAAACACAAAAATATCATTTTGTCCCCAAAATTTTTAACCATTTCCGAGTAGACACGTGACAAGAAGAAATGTATCTTATTGTTCTCAAATAAGAAACGTTTTTAAACTAAGTTTTTGATTTGATTATATTTAATATTAAATATCTCTAAAAAACCTCTGCGATAAAGATGGTCTAAGCACACTACATGGAAATGTAGAGAGAGAAAGAGAGAGATAGATTGCTCATGGATTATTATTAGTTTACCTGAGCTCTGACAACTTTTGATGAGCTTCCTCCGCATGGTCTTTGATGAAGGCATCCGTCTTGGCATCCTGAGAGTACGTAGCACTCGAATCAGTGAGATTAAAAATCCTATTGTATATATAAATGTATGTATGTATGATGAAAATTTATGAAATGATCGATGAGTTGTATAACTTACTGCAGGAGCTCTCTCAGCAACCTTCTTGGCATCCTGAGAGTACGAATCAGTGAGATAAATCCTATTGAAAAACTATATATAAAAATGTCTGAAAATCTATGAAATGTTCTCGATGAGTTGTATAACTTACTGCATCAGCTCTCTCACGAACCTTCTTAATGATCTGAGAGTAAGTAGCACTCGAATCAGTGAGATAAATCTATGTATGATGAGAATCTATGAAATGATCGATGAGTTGTATAACTTACTGCATCAGCTCTCTCACAAAACTTCTTGACTTCTTCCTGAGAGTACGTAGCACTCGAATCAGTGAGATAAATCCTATTGAAAATATATATATATATATATATATATATATATATATATATATATAAATGTATGAAAATCTATGAAATGATCGATGAGTTGTATTGTATAACTTACTGCAGCACGCTTGGATTCTGCTTCCCTAATTTTTTTCCTATCAACCTTATGATTATAATGATCAAGGTTATAAAGCATTGTTATTTCTGGGATCAGCCGCCGTTTTCTCTTCTTTTCCAATTTGGAGTTAGGAAAAAGCATCTCCCTCAATCCTGGTCCAGTCATTACTGCATCTGGCTTCCTGTCTATAGCCATACAACAAATTTGGATTACACTGTCGATCGTCTTAGTGGTGGTATAACCAAATTAAGAGTGTGGAGGAGGCAAACTTTAAATAAATAAAAAAACATATACAAAAACTAACTGCTACTGCTAATATGATCAAACCACGGAATCGAACATTTCAGCTAATAAACATACAGATCTAGTAAGTGAAATTTTGCATAATCAAACACTGCATACAAGAGTTTTGACTTAAAATTGCGTTACATGAGTGGTTTCACAAAACTTTGCCCCAAAATGATACAAGAGGTTTTATATATATAGGGTCTGAAAATCAACACTTTTCTGTCAACTAGAAAAGCATCATCATCCTCATCTCTGTTGTCAAACATATCAGGGAAAAAAACTTGCAACAAACCTAGGAAATGATATAGATCCATTTATCAAAGTGGTTAATGACTCTTATGAAATTTATAAACTAGCCTTGTTTTGAAAGCTTCACTGAAGATTCCACATTTGAGACATCAAGTAAAAAAAGGCCAGAACCATTATCGAAACACAACTGATTTCTCCAACGAGGATATAAAAAAGAAAGGGACAGAAGAAGACTAACCGGGACTATGGGGGAAGAGGAGGGGTGGGGGACCTTTCCTCAGCGTCCAAGAACTCGTTTCATGTGAAGAACTTCCGCTCATTGAGTCTAGACTTCAATCTCTCTAGACCAATCAATCAATCAAGCCACCAAAACAGAAACTCTAAGTTAGAAAATGTTATTGGATGATGGATGCTTAAGATAAAAGGAGAACAATCGCAGAACCTTCTATTTCAAGAAAAGTTCCAAGGCTCAAAAAGCAATTACCAAAAGTTCATAATGAGTTTCAAATCAAGAACTCACATCTCAACTACAGATGCTAATAAACCCACATTCCAACTACAGTCAAATAATAACATCAACAGCAATAGACCGATTGTGCCAAGGCTAGGGTTTGTGGATATTTTTTTTTGTTTTGGATAATTATATATATATGCTTCAACGCTAATAGGGGAGGTTTTTTTTTCTGAGGGAAAGAACAATCCAAATTTGAGATCAATGTGATAGAAAGGGGCACCAAAATCAATTAAAAAAAAAATTGAACTTTTTTAATGTATCGGAAACTAAAATCTCCGATCTAATACGTTTCCGTCGTTATTTGATCCACCGCATATGCAAACACATACATATGGGTAGAAGGAATCGCAACCGGAAAAAGAAGAAGATGAAGAAGAAGAATAAATTAAGCATCGAGAGTCTTACTTTAGCAGACGTTGTTGAAGAGAGAAGAGTGAAACCTGTTTTTGGTTTTGGGTTCTGGAGCGAGCGGTTCGTTAGGGTTTTCTTTTGCAATCTTTTATTTTTTAGGGTTTACGTTAGGGTTTTAATTAGGGTTAACTAAACCGGTTTAATTTGTTATGCTTTCTCTCTAAAACCAAAGATTTCCCAAGTATTTCTGTATTTGTTTTTGGTAAAAAGTATTTCTGTATTTGTCTGTTTGTGTTTACTAGTAGTGGAATAATATATCTACTAAGTTAGTAGTACTAACATACACAAAGAACTTAAGACCATGTTACAAAAAAAAGAACTTAAGACCATGTTTAAAAAGAACCCAAAAGATAGCTATGTAAAGATGCATTTCAACAAGTTGCATATTATTGAGAAAACGTTATACTTATGAAGTTGCATATTAATTTTGTTTTGTTTTTAAACTCTTAAAAGATACACTGATTTCTGAAGCATGGGAAGACTGAATAGCAATGATGAGAATTGAGATGCATGAAAAAAAAAAAAAATCGAGAAACAACATCTCGTCTATAAATCAGTTTAAACGTGTCTCACTCTCAACATTATACACAAGTCTCTCTGTTCTCTACACAACCCTAACCTGTCTTCAGTCTTCTCTTCAGATATCTCTTTCAAGTGGCATTTGGTGTATGTATTCACGTGCTTTGTTTGGGGTCTTGAGTGTTAACGTTACACTGATGAAAAAGATCGTGAGAGTAGGTTGATCCACGACTTTGAATCAAGAACTCCTATCTCCCACCAATTGACTATTAAGCTATATTATTTACACCTTCATATGATACCGTACATGTTTGATAGTTATCGATGTGGGACTCCGTTTTTATTTCATCTTTTTGGCCTACATTAATTGATTGCGACGTCACTGTTGAAGTGGCTACGAGAAGCTATCATGTTGAATGATGATCGGGTTATAACTATGGAAGAGGCTTGTTGGCCACGCATGCAAACCTAGGCTCGTTTGCGATGGCTGTATTTGGAAAGGAGACGCATTAGAGCATGTTCAATGCAGATGCTTAGGAAGAGTGCTTAGATAATTTTTTTAAAAAATTAAATCATAAAAATATAATAATTTGAGCATTGATGCTTAAATAAGAGTTGTAAGCAGCGATGCTTAACAGATACTAGCAGACATATGTTATAAAATGAAGATGATTTTAAATTTAATAATTAAATAATATTTAAGCACCCTTTTTAGAGTTGCTACCATTGAACATGGTCTTAGTGGGAGTGGGGATTACAAACAAATCTATTATATTAAAACAGTAGCATTTTTAGTGCTTGATTCCAAACATTTTTAAAGTTTTTTAAAATTTATTTTATTTTATATTTATATTTAATTCCAAAAATTAAGTATTAATTTAGATGTTTTTATATTCTCCTAAAATATAGGTGATAATTATTTTAAAACATTTATTTTATATTAATATTTAATTTCGAAAATTAGTTATTAATTTATATTTTGAAATTTCCTTAAATATGGTCATATATATTTAAATAAAATTTTAAATTATTCAAGATTTTTAATAGTTATATATAATTACGAAAATTTAGATTTTATTTAATTTGAAAATCCAAAAATTTAAAAAATTTGTAATTAAATTTTATCACAAAAATTTAAGTAATAATTTTAATTACTTTAAAATTCTTTAAATATAGTTAAATTTAATTTAAAATTCGCCATTCCAGATGCATAACAACCGATTAAAGTAGACCAGTTGGTTTTGGTGCAAGAACAACTTCATTCACATCTCTGAACCAAAATTTGATTTGATCATATACTAGAAATAAAACTTGCAGTTGCCCAACATACCTGATTCAAAGATGCATATATACAAAATAAGTTTTAGCTTTTTTTTTAAAAAAAAAAAAGGTTTGGACTGACTCGGTCAGATAACAAATCCTTAGGCAGTTTGCTTTATATTTACTCTCAAACTAACGAACCGCTAAAAAGGTAAAAATAATAGAAAACGTTCACGAAAGTCAAATTGAGCTCCTGTGGCTTGAGCAAATATTGTGTCAACATTATAATTCATCATCATCAATAGTACACATACTATACGGTCAATTAAATTACTCCCAGTTTTATAAACTGCTTGGTTTGTTTTGGTTATATTGCTCATATATATATATATATATATATAGTAGAACCAGGTTGATTTTTGTTATAGTATGGATTACTTCCAGAGGAATTATATATATACATTCAAACTAAAAGAACTTGTAATTGTGAGACCATGTTAGTGCAACTGCACAAAAACCCAAAGTATATCTAACTAAAGATGCATTTCAATGAGGCAACCAAAAGAATGTGTTGTAGTTTTTACTCATTTACAGAAATTCAAAACTACTGCTGAAAATATATCGAGAAAATGTTTACTTATTAGTTGCATATTAATTTTTTTTTTTTGAAACTCTAAATAACAAAAGTCTTCTTTTGGACTTTGACAATTTTCGCTAGTTCCAAAATGTATATACTGACTTCTAAAATTTGGAAAGACTGAATAGCATTTATGACATGCATGACAAAAAAGAAGTTAAAATCATGTAACTTAAAAAGTTAAACCTAACTGTTGGACAAAAAAAAAAAATTAAAACCTAGCTCTCAAATCTCAATACATTAATTCAAACGTCTCTCAAGTTTCTTTGTTCTTTATATAACCCTAAGTTATTTTTCACTCTTCTCTTCATATATCTCATTTAAATGGCATCAACATTTGGTGTATTCAAGTGCTTTGTTCGCGGTCTTGACATGGAGGCTGATGAAAATGATCTTAAGAGAGCCTTTTCAAAGTTTGGCAACGTTATCGATTCTAAAGTTCGTTACGCCTTGATATCGTGTCATTCGCGTTTTACTAGTAACTTGTGTTTGTTGGATTCTTTCTTACTGTTTAATCTATATCGTTTATATTTGTCTTTACAGATCATCAACGACCATGAGACTGGAATATCGAGGGGATATGAATTTATTACTTTCGAGGACGAGAAATCTATAAGAGATGCCATAATGCTAATGAACGGTGATGAGATCGATGGTTGCTCCATCCATGTGGAAGATATTAAGGCTAAGCCTCCAGATGAGACACTGTCTTCTCCAACGGTTCTGTCACATAACAAAAGCCGTACGGCAAATGCAAAACAACCTTATCAGATTGAGCTGTCAAATTCATTCTCTGCCCTTGATGAATTCTCGAATCAGCCTCATGATTATGACATCTGTTGTTGACACTATTTAAGGTTTTTGCTTTCATGTACAAATCAAACCTCAATTGCGTTGTAAAACCTTTAAACCTTGTCATATGAAGATATGATGCTACAAAAGTCAATCCTCACATGGCCACGCAAACAAAAATCTGCTGAATTATAAGCGTATTTCATAAGATAAAATAAAAGTTATGTAGAATTGTCTTAGTAATAATGGTGTGGAGAAAAAATTAGTAACAATTTAGTTTTATATACGAAAATAATTAAAAAAGGTCAATTGGTAAGAATAGGTTGGCTCATATTCATCCAATAGAAATGGCGCCTTAATGTTAAATTTTTTTGGAACCATCTCCACGAATATAAATCATAAGCTCCTATCTCCCCCCAATTGACGATCTAACTAACTGATTTACAGTTTTATATATTAAAGTAAATCTTTGATAATTACCGATGTGGGATTCAGTTATTATGTCATCTTTTCAAACTCTCCCATATTATCTCGTTTTCGTCATCACCTCACGACGTTCCACGGGAACTATTGATTCCAATCTTCATGATCAGATTTCTACGTTTTCATGCGATTCCGTTCAGAGTTTTCTCGTGGAATGACAAATGGTGATAGAGAAAAAGCATACTGAAGTTCAAAAGCGGAATCCATAAGAATATAAGATTATATAACAACTGGTTATAGTAGACCGGTTTGTTTTGCTCCTAGTTCCATCTTCACATCTCTGAACCAATATCTCTATATTATTTATTAAAGCAATTGCCAGAACTTGGAACAGTGACCATGTATTTTTTTTTCTTTATCTTAGCATTCAGCACAATGATAGGACATGGTTTTGTTACTTTCAAGGAGGAGGAATCGATGAGATATGCATATGCTGTTTTGATGATGGAAGGCATTGAGATTGATGGTAGCTACATCCATGTGGAAGAGTCTCACAGAAATAATCGTGGTTTGAGATTGTCTCCAAGAAAACTAGAGAGGATTTCGATATATCAAATAAAAGGGGTTGTGTAGAATAATCGCCTAAAGCTTCTTGGTCTTTGTAATGGCCTTTAATATCACAACAACCGGTTAAAATACTAGTTGGTTAATCTTTTCCCTGATTCCAAAAGCAATGACCATGTTATTGACATCTTGTGTCGTAGAAGCACATTGGGTTCTCTCATGTTTAATTGTGATCACTTGCATAGAACCATGTTTTTTTTAAAGCAAACGGATTTCAAACTTGCTATATAGTGAGACCATCTCAGTGCAACTGCACAAAAACCCAAAACATAGCTAACTAAAAATGCCTTTCAAGTTTCAACTAGTTTCTTTAAGAATATTGTATTATCGAGGCAGCTAAAAGAATTGCCTAACCTTTTTATACAGCTTAAGAAATCTACATCAAGGCTAAGGTATTTATAAACTGCTACTATTCATTAAGAAATCTACATCAAGGCTAAGGTACCTTCTCAAGGCTAAGGTATTTATAAACTGGTACTACACATTGTGAAAAATAAATGTTGAGAAGGAAGAGTTACTCTTTAAGGCGTCAGATAACAGCCTCTAAGCTACTCTGCTTCAAAATTTGCTATAAGACCAACAAGCTGCTCAAAAATATACATAGATGTAACAATAACCCTCCACCTGCAATTGCAAGTTCATGAATGTCTATAAGTAAACCCTCGAGAGAATTAACTAGAGAAAATGTCTAAACATGAGAATAATCCATCATTCAAAAGCCAGTAATCAATCACAGAAACATACATACCTGCAAGAAACCGTCCCAAGTATCATCAAAAGGTCACAGATCGACAAATCTCAACAGATTCCAAGTTGGAGACTTTATGAACAACCTTGGCTGATTCAACGTTCCCCCAAATCTCACCTCCTTCCCTTCTCTCCACGCACCAAATCTCCTTCTTCCCGGCACGCTTTCTACTAGAAGAAGGCACATGAGCGCTCAAAACCACCAGCTTTCCACCGAAATTCGCCATTACAGACGTAAAGCTAACAACATAAATCTTTGGATCAAACGCTTCGACCCAAGTCGTAGAAGATCGCTTCGCGCAACCTCCGACCACATAAATCTTTCCGTCGATAACTCCGGCGGCTGCGGCGAAGCGAGCCACTTGCATACTCTGGAGCGAGCGACTCGTGTGGAATCTGCAATCGATGAGAGTCACATCCGTCGAGGGATCTCCGTCGCTGAATGATCCGCCGATTACATACATCTCCGGTCCGATTGTGACGACGAAGTCTACTAAGCAATTAGGCATGAGAGGAAGCGAATCGACTCTGCCCAGTCGTAGAGAAGCATCTCTTCCTCGATAGAGAATGTACCAGATCGGGAAATCGGGCCAGGCGAATCCGACGGAGGCGTAAAGAAAGCATTCGGCGACGCCGAGGCGCGAGCGAGGAGATGAGATTTCTAAAGGTAGGGGATGCGATTGAGAGCGTCGGGTACTGACATCTCCGGACGAATGCGACGATGATTTCGGTGATTCCGTCTGGAATCTCGGCGAAGCGATTCTTTACAGTTCTGGGTTTCTTCCTTTGATTCGCTTCTTCTTGTTTCTTGTTTGGATCGCCGCCGTTAGAATCGTCGGTAATCTCGGAGATTACAACCATCGCCGTCAGTCGTCGGTAGTTTCAGAGATTATGATGGCCTAATTCGATTTTCTTGTCTTGTGTCTACTTACTGATGACTGATTAGTAGTAGATAGATATACGCTTCAGTCATTAATTGTTCTGTTTTGTTTTTAATTATTGACTAAAAAATGACGGCAAAAAAAAATAAAGATGGCGGCAAAAAAATAGACCTAATTTACCAAATAAAACTTCAAATAGTCATTGAATTGCATACACCGAGAGATAAAATAGTAGTTTTAAAAACCTGATTGGACACTCACGTGACAAAATCTAACTTAATTCTAAATTGTGGTTTCTTCCTTTGTAAAAAGATTACTATTACATTTAAAATTCTTCAATTTGCAACCAAAATTAAGCAAATCAAAACTATAACAAGAAAAAATATACCACGATATATAAGCAATTTTACTTGTTTCCATTTTCTTATCATAACCCAAAAAAATGGCATTTCTTCATTTCTTGGCAAAAGTATTATTTGAAACTCTTCTTGTAAAATCAGCATACAGTTAACTACATTTTGAGTTGCAACTTGGTTTGTTTTGCTCACGTAACATCTTCACATAACTGAACCAAGATTTCACATAGTAGAAGCACAATGGGTCTTGTTAAATTCAGAAGAACAGGAAATCTACTATAACTCTAGCAACCAAACGTTTTCTTAACGTTACACACAAGTCACAAGTCTCTCTGTTTTCTATTTAGAAACCCTTATTTGACTTATATATTTCCTTCGAATGGTGTCAACAAATGTTAAATTTAAAAGTTTTGGATGGTTGTGTTTTGACTAGTCTTTGTATATTGTCAACTTGTAGTTATCTATAAGTTATAGCTAAACCGTTCGTTTTGCTTCATCTCTAAACCAAAATTTCATATTTCTCATATGGTTTAAGTAAATTGGGTTTTGTTACCCATAAAGGTAATATTCTCTTCACATTGCACATTCTATGTAGATAAGTTCAGGTCTTTGTATTTCCTCAATTTGATATTGTAGTTACCCATAAAGTCAAAACCACCGGTTAGCTAAATTAATTTGTTATGCTTCTTATCTCAACCAAGGATTTCATATTGCTCTTCTAGTAGAAGCAGGTTTAATTTCTGCTATATCTTGAATTTGACTTGCAGAACATACAAAAAAAAGATAGCAAAATGATAGAGAAAACATGAGACTATGTTAGTGGTTTAGTGCACTGGCACAAAACCCCCAAAACATAGCTAACTAAAGATGTATTTCAACAACAAATGTCATAAGAATTTTTCTATAAAGGCAGCTACAAGAAATCTACTCAAGGCTAATTCTGTAAGAGTATCATGTATCATCAACACTGTGCAGAGATGCAATTCAACAACAAATTTCGTAAGAACTATTGTATAAAGGCAGCTAAAGGAATAGCCCACCTTCTATACAGCTCAAGAAATCTACTCAAGGCTAATTCTGTAAAGAGTATATACACTGTGCAGAGAGGTAAAGAAGTAAGAGTTACTCTTGAGGTGTCAGATACAGCTTCTGAGTCACTTTGATTCACCTGCAAGTTCATGAATGTCCTATAAGTAAAGCCTTTGAGAGGGTAACGAAAATGCCATAACTTTATCACATAAACATACATACCTGCAAGAACACCAATCCCAAGCATCATCAAAGGAACAGTTCGACAATGCTCAATGTAAGGCGACTCGATTGATGTAAGCACACGATTGATTGATTCCACATTCCCCCAAATCTCACCACCTTGACGTCTTTTCAAATTGATCTCTACGCACCAAATCTCTTCTACGCCGTGATGATCAGACCTAAAGAACGGGCTCTTACTAGCCAAAACCACCAGCTTCCCACCAAGATTTGCCATTTTACAGTCATGATCAGAGATATTAATACTATTAGGCAAACCATACACACCTCTCACAGGTCTCCAAGTCCTCTCCTTTGGATCATATACGACCAATGGACTTCCAGGACTACACGCAGGATCGATCGAATACAACCTATCATCAACCACACAAGACGATGCTTTCCACAAACGCTTCAATTCTTCAACTCTAGTTTCCCAAACACCTCCCCTGGGATTGTAAATCAAACAACGATCAGGATCCAGCATGTAAATCTTCTCCTCCATCACCGCACATGTCACAAACTCTCCTCTCCAATCGCTTCTAAATCCGATGTGAGACGAATGTACTCCAAGTCTCAGAAATTTACATCGAACGATTCGACCCAAGTCGTAGAAGATCGCCTCGCGCAACCTCCGACTACGTATATCTTCCCGTCGATTACTCCGGCGGCTGCCCGGCAGCGAGGCCTACGCATCCTCGGGAGCAAGCGATACGTGTGGGATCTGCAATCGATTAGAGTCACATCCGATGAGGGTTTCCCGCCGGCGCTTCCTCCGATTACGTACATCTTCGATCCGATTGCGACGACGGCAGATCCCCAAAGCATCGAAGGGAGTTCGTCGATTCTGAACAGTCGTGAGGAGATCTCGTTACGGCGGAGAATGTACCAGCTCGGGCCTGGGGATGGAAGGAATCCGAAGGCGGCGTAAAGAACTGATTTGGTGACGCCGGGTCGCGAGCGAGCGTCGTAGAGTCTCGGCGAAGCGGTGAGAGTGCGAAAGCCCTTGGAGATGAGGGATAGGCTCGGGTAATTGCATCTCCGGAAGAGTGCGACGCAACGTTCGGTGACTTCGTGTGGAAGATTTGGGAAAGAAATCGAGCGATACTGTATTTCTTCTTCTTGATCTACAGGTTTCTCCTTTTGATTCTCTTCTTCTATCTCTTTGTTAGGTGAGTTCGTGTGGAAGATTTGGGAAAGAAATCGAACGATACTGTATTTCTTTTGATTCTCATCTTCTTCTTTCCCTTCTTTCTCGACATCTTCTGATTTCTTGTTTGGATCGCCGCCGTTAGAGCCGTCGGGAGTTTCAGAGGTAACGGCCATCGCCGCCGTGTAAAGTCAGTTAGCAGAGAATTAACGGAAAAGCGAGCCTACTTTGATTTTTTGAAAAGAAAATATAAATGCTCTCTCTAAGTGAGGATCAGAAACTTCGTTAAAAAAATGTTCATCATTTTAATTTGTTTCCAAGATAATTTGTTTTCTTGTAATTTTCTCACCTTTCTACCAAAAAAAAACAACGATATTAGCCGGGAAACAAAATAAACAATTGGTAAACGAAATTCATTTTGAAATTTGCATATGAATTTTTCTTGAAACTATATTCTAAAGAGAAAATATTGTCTAAAGTTTAGGAACTAGGTCTTAAACAAAAAAAACAAAAAACTTGTATTTTATAAACTAAGGGAGAATTCAGAAACATCGTTAACAAAAAATGTTCATCATTTTTGTTTCCAAAATAATTTGTTTCTTGTAATTTATCACCTTTTTACCCCAAAAAAATGATATTAGCCGGAAAAAAACAATTGGTAAACGAAATTCACTTTGAAATCTGCTTATGACTTTTTTTTGAAACTATTCTAAAGATCAAATATTGTCTAAAGTTTAGGATTTCAAGAATAGTTTTGTTTAATAGATTCAACGTGTTGCATTGACCATATGCATAAATTTTCAACCTCACACAGTTTCTATAAATTGACTCAACGTCTCTAGCCCTCACTCATAACCTTGATAAGTCGCATTGTTCTCTACTTATAAAAACCATAAATTGTCTTATATCTCTCTTTCAGAAATGGCGTCCGAAGATATCGAATTCACGTGCTTTATTGGCGATCTGGACTCGGACACTGAAGAAGATGATCTTGAAAGTGCATTTTATTTTCTCCCTTTGGCGAAGTTACATATACAACGGTTGGTTTTTTTTGTTTTCTTGTTTTGTTTTTGGGATCAATTTACCATGCACCGTGGTATTGGAGTTTTGATTCATCTGTAAATTGTTTCACAGGTCATTAAAGATCATATTAGGGAATTGGGCTCGGTAATATTGGGCTTCAAGTATGTCGGTGTATATAGCTTAGCCGTCAAGATATTCTAGGGTTTATATTGTGTATATATATATGCCTTGTACGAGATCATTATGAAGACAACACAATATTCTACAATCTTATTTCCCTTACATGGTATCAGAGCGACATCGTTTCTGAGACCTAAAGGCAGTTGTTTTTTTCTCTTTCGCTAATCCGAAGTTCGTTTTAGCGTGTTCTTGTTTACTTCCTTGTTCAAAGTTCGATTCAAGGATTAGCCATGGTCGATGGTGTTGAGTCTTCCGTGAGTACAATTACGACCACCGCTCCAATGGTTTCCAACGCTGGAGCTGCGACGCCGTACACTCTGTATGGCTCGGACAATCCTGGTGCCCTAATAACGTCGGTGATGTTAAACGGTGACAACTACAATGAGTGGGCAAGCGAGATGACTAATGCCCTTCGTGCAAAACAGAAGTTGGGTTTCGTCGAGGGCACCATACCAAAGCCACTAGCAAGCGATCCAAAACTTGAGCTGTGGTTGTCGGTTAACTCGATGATTGTTGGTTGGATCCGCACTTCCATTGAGCCGCGGGTCCGATCTACGGTGACGTTCATCACAGATTCACACAAGTTGTGGGAGAATCTTCGCAAACGTTTCTCTGTGGGAAACAAGGTGCGCGTGCATCACTTGAAGGAGAAGTTAGCTGTTTGTCGACAAAACGGTGACGACGTCATCGAGTATTACGGACGGTTGTCCAAAATTTGGGAAGAGCTTGACATGTACAAACCTCTTCCTGCGTGCACATGTAGTGCTGCTGCTGAGTATGAAAAGGAGCGTGAAGAAGAGAAGATGCATCAGTTTGTAATGGGGTTAGATGAGGCTCGTTTTGGTGGTATGTGTCAGGCCATCATCTCCTCCGATGCATCCACAGATCTTGGTGAAATCTATGCCAAGGTAGTTCGGGAAGAGCAAAGACTGAATTCCGCGAAAGAACGCGAGTCTCAGCAAAACGCGGTGGGTTTTGTGGCAAAAAGGGACTCGTCTTCTGATACGTCTGGAGGTGGTTCACAACATGAACGTGGTACTCAATGCTCTCATTGTGGTCGCAGTGGCCATGTCAAAGCAAACTGCTGGCAGCTAGTCGGTTTTCCTTCTTGGTGGGAAGATCGTGCGCAGAACAGAGCCGCGAACAAAGGTGGTCGCGGAGGTAGACGAGGTCGCGGTGCAGGACGAGGTGGGAATGGCGGTGTGCACGCAAGCAACGCTCATGCTACCACATCCAATTCGTCCTCGTTCCCAGAGTTTTCCGAAGAGCAATGGAAAGCACTTTCTCAGCTGATTTCGGAGAAAACTAAATCCTCCAACGATCGTCTCTCTGGTAAGCGTGGTGCAGGTGATCTCATACTAGATACGGGAGCATCTCACCACATGACAGGAAATTTGTCTTTTCTTGAGAACACGTCTCGTATCTCACCATGTGCTGTTGGTTTTGCTGATGGAAATCGCACATTTGCAACTCATATGGGCGTATTTCCATTAACAAGCCATATTGTGTTGGACAATGTTTTATTTGTGCCAAATCTTAATTGCTCGTTGATATCTGTTTCAAAGCTGCTAAAACGGACCAATTGTTTTGCTCTTCTCACCGATACGTTGTGTGTTTTACAGGATCGTTTCACGAGGACCCTGATTGGAGCAGGTGAAGAGAGGGATGGGGTTTACTATTTTAAAGATGTCATGGCTGCAAGGGTTCATCGAGTCACCAGTCCGGTTGTTAGCTTGGCTGATCAGAATTGTTGGCACCAGAGGCTCGGGCATCCGTCGTTTTCTGCTTTAGCGTCATTACCTATGTTTTCGTTGAATAAATCTGCTGCCCCCTAGTCCTTGTGACACATGTTTCCGGGCAAAGCAGACTAGAGAAGTTTTTGTTGCAAGTTCAAATAAATCAAATGAATGTTTTCAGTTAATTTATTGTGATGTTTGGGGTCCTTACCGAACCAGATCCTCCAGTGGAGCAGTTTATTTTTTAACTATTGTTGACGATTTTTCAAGAGCAGTTTGGACTTATTTGCTTCTCGAAAAGACAGAAGTGCATATGGTGCTTCAGAACTTTTGTGCGATGTCAGAAAGGCAATTTCATAAAACGGTGAAGGTAGTTCATAGTGACAATGGCACAGAGTTTATGTGTCTATCTCGGTTCTTTCGTGAACAAGGAATTCTTCATCAAACCTCGTGCGTTGCCACGCCTCAATAGAATGGAAGAGTTGAACGCAAACATCGACACATTCTTAACGTATCTCGCGCGTTACTTTTCCAACGTAGCTTACCGATCAAGTTTTGGGGAGAAGCTGTCATGACTGCAACTCATCTCATTAATCGAACCCCAACAGCCATTCTTAAGGGCAAAACACCTTATGAGATTTTATACGGACAAACACCATCGTATGACAATCTCCGTGTATTTGGAAGTTTGTGTTACACACACTTACGGTCAAGGGATAAAGACAAGTTTGGCTCCCGCAGTCGTCGTTGCGTTTTGTTGGGTATCCTTTTGGACAAAAGGGATGGAAAGTGTATGATTTAGACAAGAAGGAGTTCATCATCTCTCGCGATGTTGTGTTCTATGAAGATGAATTTCCTTTTTCGTCTTTGCCTCCCGTCTCACCCGTAGTCGCACCTCAGCATCTCTCGTCTTCGTCGTTTTGTGATGACGATTGGGCAATTCCATCGCCTCCGGTTTCCGAAGTCAGGGGGAGTTCTGAGTCAGCTGCTGTGGAGGAAGCTTCGAATTCACCAACACCAGATTCCGCTGCCCCTCTTTCCTCTACTGCACCTGACTCACTGCCTGTTCCGACGGAATCTCTAGTTGAGACTCCATCTCCCAATACTGAAGATATACCCCATGTTGCAACAGAGTCCCCTGTTTTGGAGCTGTCCCAAACTTCCTCAGGACAAGTTGACCATGATTCAGTTACTGAGGTTGAAGTATTAGGTCGTGGACATCGAGAGCGCATTCCTTCTACGCGTCTCAAAGGCTTTGTTACGTATAATGCCGCCGCCCTTAACCCCCATCTCTCCTCACTCTGCTCCACTCCGGCGTCTTCAGAAACTTTCCAAGGTAAGACACCGTATCCCTTGGATGCTTATGTCTCTGATCTCTTGTTCTCACCATCGCACCAAGCATTCTTGGCAGCAGTGACTGCAGGTGTTGAGCCCAAGAGCTATACGGAAGCAGTAAAGGATGAGGTTTGGCATGCTCCTATGCAAGACGAGGTCGTTGCTCTCGAAGATAATCACACATGGGATGTTGAATCACTTCCGCCTGGAAAGATTGCTATTCCCTGCAAGTGGGTCTATAAGATTAAATATAACGCCGATGGAACTATCGAACGTCATAAGGCTCGGTTGGTAGTTATGGGAAATATTCAGGTGGAAGGGGAAGATTTCGACGAAACTTTTGCTCCAGTCGTTAAAATGGAGACTGTGCGTAGTCTTTTAGGTGTTGTTTCCGCAAAGAATTGGGAAGTGCATCAGATGGATGTCCATAATGCTTTCCTTCATGGTGACCTCAAAGAAGAAGTTTACATGAAGTTCCCTCCGGGTTTTACGCACTCTGATCCTACTAAGGTTCTGCGTCTTCGGAAATCCCTTTATGGACTTCGTCAAGCACCACGTTGCTGGTTCGCCAAACTGTCTACTGTGCTGTTAAAGTTCGGTTTCAAGCAATCTTATTCCGATTACTCATTATTCACATTTGAGAAGGGCGGGACAGAAATTCGAGTTTTGATTTATGTGGACGATCTGGTTATTGCAAGCAATAACATGGAGAGATTGACAAAGTTTAAGGCATATTTGGGCGAATGTTTCCACATGAAAGATCTGGGTAAGCTCAAATATTTCCTCGGTATTGAAGTAGCACGTTCTGACGAAGGTATTTTCCTCTCTCAAAGGAAATGTATCCTTGATATTGTCGCTGACACAGGTCTCCTTGGCGCAAAGCCGGCATTGACACCGATTGAGCAAAACCACAAACTTGCGTCGGATACAAGTCCTCTCC